TATGTCGAACCATCCTTGCATCTCAGGGATGAATCCCACTTGATCATAGCGTGTGATCCTTTAAATGTACTGTTGAATTTGGTTTCCTAGTATTTTGCTGAGGACTTTTGCATCTATATTCATCAGGGACATTGGCCTGTAGTTTTCTTGTTCTGTCCTTGTTTGGTTTTGGTATCAGAATAATGCTGGCTTCATAAAATGAGTTTGGAAGTGCTCCCTCCTTTTAAGTTTTTTGGAAAAGTCTGAGCAAGGATTGTTATCAATTCTTTAAATGTCTGGTAGAATTCATCTGGTCCTGGTTTTTCTTTTATGGGAAGTTTCTGATTACTGATCCAATAACTTGTTAATGGTCTGTTCAGATTATTTATTTTTTCATGATTCAGTCTTGGTTAGCTATAGGTTTCTAGGAATTTCTCCATTTCTTCCAGATGTCCAGTTTGTTGGCATGTAACTGTTTATAGTAGCCTTTTATGATCCGTTTCATTTCTGTGGTATTCAGTTGTAATGTCTCCTTTCATTTCTGATTTTATAGCTGTTCTCCTCTCATTTCTTTTTAGTCTAGCTAGAGTAGGTCAGTTTTGTCTTTTCAGAAAACACAGTTCTCAGTTTAGTTGGTCTTTTCTATTATTTCCCTGGTCTCTATTTTTGCTCTGATCTTCCTATGGTTAACTTTGAGCTTAGTTTGTTCTTTTTCTAGTTCCTGAGATGTAAAGTTTGGTTGAGATTTTTTTGTTTGTTTGTTTATTCTTTTTTTTAAATTTTTTTTTTCAACGTTTATTTATTTTTGGGGGGACAGAGAGAGACAGAGCATGAATGGGGGAGGGGCAGAGAGAGAGGGAGACACAGAATTGGAAACAGGCTCCAGGCTCTGAGCCATCAGCCCAGAGCCTGACGCGGGGCTTGAACTCACGGACCGCGAGATCGTGACCTGGCTGAAGTCGGACGCTTAACCGACTGCGCCACCCAGGCGCCCGTTTGTTTATTCTTAATGTAGGTTTACTTCTATAAACTTCCCTCTTAAAACTGCTTTTGCTGCATCCCATAAGTTTTGGTATGTTATATTTCCATTTTTGTTTATTTCAAGACAGTTTTCTATTTTTCTATTTCTTCTTTCCATGGATTGTTTAAGAGTGTGTGGTTATTTTTCATGTATTTGTGAATTTTCCAGTTTTCCTCCTGTAACTGATTTCTAGTGTCATTTCACTGTGATTGGAAAAGATAGTTTTCCTAGGAGTTGTTTTGTGACCTAACACATGACTTTTCCTGGAGAATGTTCCATGCATGCTTGAGAAGAACGTGTATTCTGCTGCTGTTGGACAGAGCACTCTGTATATATCTATTAGGTGCCTGTAGTCAAAAGTATAAAGGCCAATATCTCCTTACTGATTTGTTTGGATGATTTATCCATTGTTGAAAGTGGGGTACTGAAGTCCCCTACGATTACTATATTATTGTCTGTTTCTCCCCACCCGCCCCCCCTCTTTTTTAAAATTTTATGAGAAAGACAGAGCAAGAGAGAGAGCACATACACATGCTAGCAGGGAAGAGGGGCAGAGGGAGAGGGAGAGACAGGAAGAGGGAGAAGGGGAGAAGGGGAGAAGGAGAGAAGGAGAGAAGAAGAGAGGGAGAGAGGGAGAGAGGGAGAGAGGGAGAGAGGGAGAGAGGGAGAGAGGGAGAGAGGGAGAGAGGGAGAGAGGGAGAGAGGGAGAGAGGGAGAGGGAAAGACAGAGGGAGAGAGAGAGGGAGAGGGAGATAGAGAGAGAAACACCCCAAGCAGGCTCCATGCTGTCAGTGTGGAGCCTGACACAGGGTTCAATGTGGGGCTTGATCCCATGACTCTGAGACCATGACCTGAGCTGTCTGAGGCACCCAGGTGTCCCTATTTCTCCTTTCAGACGTTAGTATTTGCTTAATATATTTAGGTGCTCCAATGTCAAATGTACATATATTTGTTATATCTTGATGAATTGACTCATTTATCATTACCTAACAATATTTTTTTGTCTCTTGTACAGCTTTTGAGCTAAAGTCTATTTTATCTGATAAAAATACAGCTACCCTTGCTTTCTTTTGGTTTATATTTGCATGGAATAGTTTTTCCATCCCCTCACTTTGAGCATATGTGTCTTGAAGGGAGTCTCTTGTAGGTAGTATATAAATTGGGTCTTTTTAAAAATCCATTCAGCTACTCTGGGCTTTTCATTAGAGATTTAAATCCATTTACATTGAAAGTAATTTTTGATAAGTGAAGACTTACTAATGCCACTTTATTATTTCCTCTTCTGTAGTTTCCTTGTTCCTTTCTTCCTCTCTTGCTGTCTTCCTTTGTGAATTTATGATTTCCCATAGTGGAATGTTTTGATTCTGTTGTCTATTGTAGATTTTTGCTTTGTGGTTATTCTAAGGCTTACAGAAAACATTTATAGATATAGCCATTTATTTCACAATGGTAGCTCTGATTGTATACAAAAGTTCTACCCTTTATTCCCTCTCATGTTTTTGACGTCACAATTTCACTTTTTATAGTGTATATTCACTAACAAGTTACTTAGCTATTTATTTTGTCCTTTAACTTTTAGAGTTAAGTGTTTAACACACCACCAGGTTACAGTATTAGAGCATTCTGAATCTGATTATATACGTATCTTTACCAGTGTGTAGTATATTTCATATTACTAATTTCATTTCAGCTTAAAGAATTCCTTTCAGCACTTCTTGTAAGGTAGGTCTAGTGGTGAAGAATTTCTTCAGCTTTGTTTGAGACACTTTATCTTGTCTTTGTTCCCGAAGACCATCTTTGCCGCATATTCTTGGTTGGCAGTTTTTATTTTCGGTACTTTGAATATATCATCCCATTCTCTTCTGGCCTGTGAGGTTTCTAATGCAAAATCAGCCGATAATCTTACGGGGATTCCCTTGTATGAGAGAACATTTTTTTCTCTTTCTACTTTAAAATCCACTTGATTTTAGACAGTTTTATTATAATGTATATTGGAGATCACTTTAAACTGAAATTTGGGGGTGAAATATTAGCTTCATGAACTTGGATGTATACTTTCTCCTCAGATTTGGAAAGTTCTCAGACACTTTTTCTTTCTTTCCTTCTTTCTTTCTAATGTTTATTTATTTATTTGGAGAAAGACAGAAAGAGAAGAAGAGAGAGAATCCCAAGCAGGCTCCATTCTCAGTGCAGAGCCCAGTGTGGGTCTTGATCTCACAACCATGAAATCATGACCTAAGCTGAAATCAAGAGTCTGACGTTTAACCTGTTGAGTGACCCCAGGTGTCCCTCAGACATTATTTCTGTAAGTAAGCTTTCTGCCCCCTTCTACCTCTCCTTCTGGGGCTCCAATTTATTCACAGGTTGTTTCTCCTAATGGTATCCCAAAGTTCACATAGGTTTTCTTCATTCTTTTTCATTCTTTATTCTTTGACCTCCTTGAGTGGGTAATTTCAAGGTCTTGTCTTCTACCTTACAGGTTCTTTCTTTCCTCTGCTTGAGCTGTTCTGCTGTTGATGGTCTCTGTTGCATTTTTTTCTTTCATTCATCGTATTCTTCACCTCCAGAATTTCTGCTTGGTTCTTTTTCATGATTTCTGTCTTTGTTGAACTTCTCATTTTGTTTATGTATTGTTTTTCTGATTTCATCAATTTGTTTTTCTGTTTTCTTACAGCTCACTGAGCTCCTTAAAATAGCTCTTTTGGATTCTTTATCAGGTATATCATAGATTTCTATCTTTGGGGTCAGTTACCAGAAAATTATTGTGTTCCTTTTGTGGTGTCATGTTTCTTTGATTTTTTCATGTTCCTTGAAGTCTTTCTTGTATTGCTGTCTTCACAAGTGAAGTAACAGTTACTTCCTCCAGTCTTTATTGACTGACCCCTTCAAAGTGTCCAATCTTGGACTCTTCTGCCCCAGTGGTATGCTGGAATTCCTCTGTTGGACTCCTGAACTTCCACAGAGGTTCCCTCATCCATGAGTGGATTGTCTAAATCTGTGTTCTCCAGGACCACAGCTGAAAGGGAGTGGAGCCAGTTCATGGGCTACTTCAGGGTCCACATCTGGGATTGAGGTCTGTATTCCTATTATGCAACACACAATTGGGTAAGATTCTCTTGGGTACTTAGTGTGTGGTGCTGGTGATAGAATCCAAGCCAAATGGGGCTGTAGCCATGCCCTCAAGGGCATGGAGCTGTGTCTCAGGCTACAGCCAGGGCTAGGGTTGGTGTATCGGCTGCTGGGGTGTGGGCCCATCCTCTCAAAATGGCTCTCCTTGTTTTTGGATGGCATTGGGGTTTCACAGTCTCCTCTCTGGGTCTCACAGCTCCCACAAAGACATGTTGTCCACCATAAGATGCCAAGTTATTGTTGAGGGAGAGACACTAGTGAAGGGTGTCTTATTCAGTTATCTGGCTTACATCATTTCCCTTCAATGCTTTCTAAAGACATATATAATGCACAACATCTCAATCTCTGCTTCAAAAGGTAAGAAGACAGCGCAGATAGGTAGAAGATGAGTTTTGTACTTTTAGGATTTTAGGTAGTTTTTAGGATTCAACTGAGACTTTTAATTTTGGACTTTAATATGTTTGTTAAAGCAACAATGCTCCATCTGATCTTGGTAGGAATATAAATAAATGACTAGCTGAGCAACTAGTATACTGGCTGTGAAAAAGAGGTAAAATTGGGAAAAAAGAAGCAGTGTTTCTAGGCTACGTTATCCCAAACTTAACTTCAAATACAGAGAAATCAATCAACAAAATGACCTGGCTCTAATCCCACTTCTATAATTCTTTAATGTGCAATCCTATGCATGTTACTTATCTCTTGATGCCACGTTCCTGATATGGTTTCTTTCCCTCTCCACTCACCATTTTGTAGGAGATCTTCATCAGAAATTTCTAAGCAACATAATCTACTGGTCAAATGCTGTTTGGGACTTCTACTTTGAGTAATTTTCTCTTCAGTAGCGTGTAACACCCTAAGGTGGTGTACTCACCCCCAGATGGCTCTCACAGCAGATATTCGAACGGATGGGGGTTGTGTCTCATGAAGACCACTAACTGTTGCCTGTAGAAACTGCTGGATCAATTCAGGAGACATAGCAACAGTGAACCGACTGGCAGCCCAAAGTGCCCGGCCCAAGAGAAAAGGAGACACTGGGAGGAAGAGAGACCAATTAGGGGTTGAACAATAAAAAGGTTCTGTTACTTGCCCTTTCTCCTTCCCACCTCCATCCGCAACTTGTCACAGTAACCGGATACTACATAATATATACAACTTACTCAAGGAAAAAGCATGACCTTATAAGATAAAAGCAAATATATGACCTTTGGTACAGAATCATTTTCCCAGTTTCACTTTGCACTATTTGCAAAGTAGATATTGAATATTCTTAGGCTAAAAGGACTTACCTCCCTCATTCCCATCCCTAGCTCTCATTATCCTTTACCTGCACTACTAGTTAGTCCTCTAAATGTCTTCTCCATTGCCAGTTGTTCCTACTCTTGGACCATCGTTGGAACATTGTAAATCATAGATAGTTCTGTCATTATTTAGTATCTATCAATAAATTCCATAGTCTACCAAATAAAGACCATTTTAGTTAAGCCTTATATTCAACACCCCCTGAGGTCAATGACTAGCATTACCTGTGATTTCCCTTTATGCCTTCTAAACTCAACCATACACCCCTCCCAGCAACTCACATCTTACTTTGCCATTTCTGTGCTTTGTATATAGGCCAACACATTCACTGCTACTTGCATAACCGAACTGACTTCTTGGGCTAAAGTAATCCTAACTATCTCTGTGCTGCTGTAATCCTATGTCTTTAGCTTTCTTACATGTAGCATATTTTGTTGGATATTCCAGCCACCAGTGTAAGACGACTACTACCCCCCCAGCCCCACCCCTGCCCCTGCTTACTATAACCTGCCTGATGACAGAGACTATACTTACTCAGCTTGTCACAGGGCTTAACTTAGTTACTTGTAAACATGTAGTTGATGAGAATTATTGAGCAGAACCTAACAACCTGTGCCATTCATATAATTTAAAATACATGCTAATTTATGTAATACAGAGTAGCAGCTCTCAAAGTATGGTCTAGGGACTCTTGGGAGTCCCAAAAGTTAAAACTTTCATGGTGATATCAAGACATTATCCATCTTTTTCACTCTCACTCCTTCTCAAGTGTACAGTGGAGTTTTCCAGAGGTCATCTGATGTGCTGACACCACAGCTCTGACAGCTAATGAAATGTATGCTTGCAATTCTTGTGTTTTAGAAACTTCTGTTTTAATTTTTAATATGTTAAGTATTGACACAGAAAATTCACACAAAAATCTCTTTCGGACCACTGATAATTTTTAAGAGAGCAAAGAGGTCCTGACACCAGAAAGCTTGAGAATGGCTGGTGTAGAAAAGTTTTTAACTGTAGGCAGGACAACTGTCTCAATTGTAAATATTCTCAAGTCTCCACGAATTTTTGAAGGTTCTTTACCAGGGTAAATTCTATAAAAAATATGTTGATGGATTTGAGAACTTTGAACACTTTCATTCAACACATAATTATGAAATGTCTATTATATGCAAAGCATTGAGGGATACAAACATGTATTAGACATGATTTCTATTTTCTTATATTTTATTTCTTATATTCTAGTATGAAAAAAGAAAACATATTCACCAGTGTAAGTTAAGTATAGAGTGAAAAAGGATATTCCCAATGGGTCTGAGCTCTGGATGTTCAACCACTTTAATTCTGTGATTCAGAGAATGGAGGTGATGCCACACATATCTTGTAATAGATTACCTATTTAGAGTCAGAGTAGAATGCTTTCAAATGGCTTCAGCTACTCAAACGGCTAGCCTACGAGTGAGAGGCAAGTGAACGGATTGAGAATAGAGCAAACAATGCCACATGTCCCGTGATTTACGTATTTGGACAAAGCAAAGATGACCTTTTGTAATGGGGGAAGTCTCTAAGGATCAGAATAAGGCATGGCATAGGCAGAAACAATGTAGCTGAAGATGGCAAAGAGAGAAATGATGATTCTTAATGACTGCTCTACATTGCTGGAGAAATAAATCTAATATAGTAGAGCCTACTTTTTTTTTTTTTAAGGCAAGTAGCTAACATGAACATGAGAAGGGAACATTCTAATTATCTGGATATTGGCCAAGAATAAAGTTTGAGAAAAAAGACAGGAAACAAACAGGAAGAATGACACTGACATAAACTGTCTAAAGGTAGTTTGGACTTAATAATGACAGAACTCAAGCCAAAATTCTTAAGGTACAGCAACCAAATCTGCATCCTATTCAAATGCCAAAACCATCCATAAATGTGAGCACAGATTTGGAAGGGAAGTAAACAGAGTGGAAAAATTATGAATGTGGCAATATCAGTATCTTTGTTGGCAAAGCTTGAGCCACGGTCTCTAGGCTGTGTTAGAAGTTTAGATGAGTTCAAGCTCTATGGTGGAAAAGAATTTTCCACCCTAAGGACACATGAATATCTGGCCTACCTATCTAAATGAACAATATAACTGAGTTGATGACAGGCGTGAATCCTGGCATTGTACTAAAATGTACCTGAGAGGTTGAGGTCTGCAAGGATGACATTGGTCAGGAACCCATGCATGTCAAAATGGATCCTGCCATTCTTCACACTGTCAGTGATGATGGACTTCACCGAGCCAAGGGCAAGCATGCATGCCTCATGTATCTTCCACCTGCAAAAGTGATACCATAGCCTGGTAAAACAAACTACACTGCCAAAAAGACATCTGAAGGAAGTAGAAACATGAATGGGTAGTCCAGCACAATCTGACCCAAAAGGGACATTTATCTGCCCTTCTAATCTAAACCTACAGCTGAAAACAGGGAAATTTAATAACAGATTTTTCTAATTAAAAACAAAGTAAAGGTCCTTCCCTTCAAGGCTTTCAGAATCAAGGGGTACAATAAAAGCATCTTAACCAATTATTTTAAGGTTGGGAGGATGGCTTTAAAACACATGATTCAAAGCAAGGATCTGCCTCAGATCTGATGCCCAGAACATGTCCCTAAGTTAAGTATCAGTTGCTCACTCTTACCAGTGTTCGGTGCCGCTGTTTTTGGTTTGCTCAGCCTCTTGTAAGTGCCGGGTGGCTGCAGCAGCCAGGGCCGCTGCACTCTCATTCTGGAAATCAGTGGCCACAGCCTAGGGAGAGAGGGGAGGGCTAATAAACCTATCTGTGCAATTAAACCCATCTTAATTGCAAACTGCAAATTTAATTGCAAACTCAATGGTTCACGCTCATTCACACATACATGCCAAGTCCCAATTAGGCATATTAAAAATATAACCCTTATTAGTTCAGGGTCTTTAATGGAATTAAAGTAGTATTTCTGCAGTGCCTAGCCTTGTAAAGCTAACAAAATGTAAAGCTCTCTGGCTATATTGAGCAGAGTATAAGTGAGCAATGATTAATTCAGCCTCGAATGAAGCTTATTTATTTATTCTGGGAGCTTGACTGTAGAAATAAAAGGCTAATCTACGAACTGAAACTTAGTTGTGATCTTTCATAGGTGCCTTAGAAATACTAAAGGTAATGAGAAGTGAGTTCGCTAATAACGAGAACCTCTCACCCAACAGAACACAAGAGGCAGTTTCTTCACACAACTTCAACCCAGAGACAATTCTATGCTCTAGTGAGAGCCAAAGAAAACAGCAGATGTTTGTTTGGATGTTCATCTCTCAGTAATCTAATTTTTAAAAAATGTTTGCCAACACCTGGTTTATGCTACAGATTCTGGCTTAAGAGTGAATTAAACTGAATGTTCCTGATTCAATTACCCTTATTAGAACACTTTATCCTCTGCACAATTTTTACATCTAATATTTACTTGTAAACCCAAACCAGCAGGAATGACTTTGGAATTCCCGAGTCTCAAACTTCATTTGAGAAGCTCTTTTATTATCCTCAAAGAAGTCTAAGATAAAGTCACTCAATAACACTGCTCAACTTGGGTTAGTTGTCTACAAAGAAGAGGGAACGTTCAAGTGATTGGTTAGGATATTCTGGTTCAAGTATCAAGGGAACCCACTTACAAGCAATAGGTCTTGAGCTGCAATCCTAACAGTGTAGGAGAAAGTATCATCATCTTCATCTTCAACAAACTGTTGGGGGTTGGCTGTCCATACTTTAATCTGAAAGGATGATGCAGTTAGGTCTTTGTGAGGTTGCCAATCTGGTTCATATGTTCCCTTTTTTCATCCACACACCCAGAAGATTTCAACCTTTTGTTTTCATTTATTATTATTTTTTAAAGATTTTATTTTTAAGCAGTCTCTACATACAACGTAGGGCTTGAACTCACAACCGCGAGACCAAGTGTCACATGCTCCACTGACTGAGCCAGCCAGGCACCCTCTTTTGTTTTTATCTTGAACGGAACTCTAGCCTCAGTCTTTTCTCTTTGATGTAGAGAAGTAAATCCTTTACCAAGGCAAGTAACAAAAGTTACTGCTCTCTAGTAGACACTGAGCTGATTACTAGTTCTCTGCTACTTTTAACCAGCTTTCACTTTCTGATAGATCAACTTTGAATATATTTGACTATATTAGGCCTGATGGAATATTTAATGTGAAAATTATGTCGATTCTTGTGCTATTTATATAAGAGAGGCATTATCTTATTTTTTTAATGCTCCTTTCTAGTCTACTGACCCAACAACCAGGCTAATGATCTCTATATGTCAGTATTTATAGAGAAGGAATAGATTCTTCCAGAAACCAGGGTCTTTGGTTAGTGGTAGTATGGAAGCAAAAGTAAAAGTATTCGCAAAGTCCAATTATCTAATATAGGAGTTAATAAAACCACAGAACCCAGAGATTTCCTAGAGGGGCACCTGGGTGGCTCAGTCAGTTGAGCACCTGACTTCGGCTCAGATCATGATCTTACGCTTTGTGAGTTTGAGGCCCACATTGGGCTCTGTGCTGGCAGTGCAGAGCCTGCTTGGGATTCTTTCTCTCTCTGCCCCTCCCCTGCTTGCATGTGCACCTGCATGCAGTCTCTCTCTCTCTCTTGCAGAAATAAACAAATATTAAAAAAAAAAAAAAAAAAAAAG